TTGTGATCCTCAGTGTTAGAGATGTAGAATCGGAATCAGATGATGGGTTGTCGCAGTAGCGGAAGAAGATGAACCCAGTTTATCAGATGAATTATCCAGCGCTTCAACGGAAGGATTGGGAAAGTTGAGATGAGCAAAAGGACCGTACATGGCAGTAGCAGCATGATCGTAAGCAAGAGCAGCTTCATGAGCGGTGGAGAAAGTACCAAGCCAAAGCCTACCGGGTTTACCAGTACAGACTTCGTCCATGCTGATTGGTTCGCGAATCTCAGCAACCCATTTGCCCCACCGCCTCTGCCGCACCCCTCTGTAGCCATAAGACGAGTTTTGAGGTCCACCTTTCCCTGTCATACATCCTTTCTTGGAACCCTTAGCCTGAATCTTAACTGGGAGCTTCTGGTTTCCGCCATGTCCAACCAATTGAAACCGAAGTTGTTTCCACTTGGCAAGAGTATCCTCCACTGAGTCCCTCCCATTGCGTCTCCTTCCCGATCTGCTGGTACTTCCACTTTCTCCACAATTCCCTCGACTCTGCTTACCCATGATTCTTGAGGCTCGATAGTAGATGAAACAGTATAGTCAAATTGGAGAAGAAAAAGCTCAAGATTTACATACGCCGCGTCCAAACATCAACACCCATAATGAGGGTTTTGTGTCTTGTATATGCACGAAGAAAGTTTGTTGTCTTGTGTATTCGTATTTGATTTTGCGGCTTGCCAGTTCCCTTCCTTGGAGACTAAGTAAAAGCTTGTATTGGACAAATTTGATTTGTCGACTGTCGTTTTGTATTTCCTGAAACAGATGATATTTGTTAGATGACGTGGCATAATGAGTGCCAGCTGCTTTCTGACGTGGCAAAATCTTATTCGCGGGAGTTCATCATGGTAATTATTTTGACACATTGCCAAATCCTGTTTCTTGGCATCCACGACTTTCTTTCCATCAACTTTCAAATTATAAATTCTCCTACCAATTTATTATTATTATTATCAATATTAATTTATTAATATATAAAAATAGTTAAAAAACATTAATTATATTTTTTATGATTAGTATTATTTATTAATAATTTTATCTATTTTTATAATATATATTAAATTAATTTGTGATTAACGGAGTAGTACTAATATTATGCATACGGTTTCGTTGTAAGATAAGTTTATATTTAGAAATGTCAACCAATGACGCAAAATCATGACAATTTTTTTTTATAATTTTTTAACCATATTTTTGTTTTATTTATATTTTTAAAATTATAAATAAAAAATTAATATCAACGTTAATATAGTTTGCATAGGGGTAGAAATTTAATTCTACATAAATAAATTTTATATCTTTCTATTTGTCATTTCAAAACTTTATAGTTTTGGAAGAGTTTTCGATGAAACCGAAGAGAATGTCTTTTTATAATTGATGTCTTCTTTCTATATAAAGCTTTTAACGATTAAACGAATCTTGTATCTACTCTACTATTAAATATCTATTTGCAACCAATGAGTTTCGCATCGTTAGACAATGAGACAAGATCCTAAACATCATTGTCCTTCATGCACTTTATCTCTTTATTTATGATGTCAATCCACTTTTGCGAATTAGAACTTTTTGTGACTTGACGGAAGTTGATAGGATCATCTTCTACTGTATCAATGTTAAACTCATATTTTTGGAGATACACAATATAATCATTCGAAATTGTACTTCTCATCTCTCTAGTGGGTCTCTTTAATGGGATAGGTTCTTGAGAGTGTGAAGTTCGTACTTTAGGAACAGTTTCTTGAACAGGAACGAGATATACTATGACATTGTCTTGATATGAATTTGCTTCTTGAACAATATTAGATATAAGAACTTGATCATGATCATTGTTAAGAGCAACTGAGAGAATGTGAATATCGACCCATTCATTTTCAAAGATAAGGTCTCGAACTCTTTCTCCCTCCGCAAACTCAATATTCTTAAAGAATTGATTATTTCTCATCTAAAAAATGATCTTACCAATGAGATCATAAAACTTATAACCCTTAGATTGTTTAGAATAACCAACAAAATAACAACTAACAATTTTGAAGTCTAGTTTTTTTTCATGTGGCTTATAAGGTCTAACATCAGCCGAACATCCTTAAATGTGCAAATGTCTCAAACTAAACTTCTTACCCGTCCACAGTTCATAAGAGGTCTTTGCAATTACTTTAGTTGGAACTCTATTGAGTAAATATATTGAAGTCTTTAATACTTCTCCCCAGAGTGATTCAGGTAAGATAGAATGACTAATCATACTTCTCATCATATCTTTAAGTGTTTTGTTTCTTCTTTCAACAACATCATTCGTGCTAGGAGAACTTGACTCTGATACCAATTGTTAGAATAAAAATATTTTTTAAATTAATAGATCTGTAAATCTAAATACGTAATTTCGTACTGAATTAATGAGAAATGTAAGCGGAAGCGTACTTGGATCTATCGCGGAAGATTCAGTTACGTTTTGTTGTAGGTATTTCTGAATCAACATGATGCTTCAAAAGCTAAACTTTTTTCTGGTAACAAAATTTCAAAAAAATAAAATGGCGAACGTGTGATTCGGGGAGTATAATTGCCTTTTATATCGACAAACTTTTGTAATTTCTATTTCGTCCATCATAAAACGAGAATATTATAAAAATAGTATCTGCAAATTATAAGTCCGTACTTAAATTGGATGTATTAAGGCCCAATACTATCAACCGCATTTGATCACTTTTAAACGGAACCATTAAATTGATAGTTTGATATACATACTGAGGCTCACATTAAGTCTACATGTCAAAAAAAAAAAAATCCAACAACTTTAGCTACTATATATTAGATTGAAAATTTTAATACTTAATTATTAAATAGTACAATGTATATTATTTACTACAATAGATTAAATGTATTTATCTTCCTAATATATATATATATATATATATCGTTTATAGAGAGAGAAAAGGAAAAAAAGAAAAAATAAATAAACAAAAAAATCTAAAAGACTACAGTTTCCCAAGAGTACTATTCCTCTAAAACCTATCAGCTTAATTATGCACTTCCATATATGCAGACGCGAATAGATAAGAGATCCTTTAATTCAATTTCCTTTTTTCTTTTTCTAGTAATGGTTTGTCTTGTCAAAAGAAAATACAGTGAATAAAAAATGTTCGGAATTGGCAAATTGTTAAATACGGTTGGTTGTTTGTGAGGATCCATGGTCATTGAAAGAGATTGCTTTGATTAATTAGCTAATTTTTGAGTTCACGAGAGAAACTCTATTATTTATTGTTCTATTGTAAGCAAACTGCTATGAATTGAATGAGGTTCACTATTTTTGAAGTTTGTTTTAAATTTAAGCTTGTAATGATCTTTTAATTGTTGTTGTAGTCGATCAACATGTCACTTCTGCTTAGCGGGATAGAGATGAAAAATGTGTATTTTGAAAATTGAAGTGCTGGTAAGGTAATAAAAAAGAGACTTAAGTATAGACATGAGAGAATTCTAAATTTGAGCTTAAAGCACTCTAGAAATTGAAGTCCAGGTTAGCTTTAAAACGATAAATATATGAATGTTAAATGATGCATTGTTTGATATTTTTTTATTTATTTAACACACTACTTTTCTTTTGCCGTAACAGTGAATTCTAAGAAATTTAAAAATTATTACGCGGCTGCTTTTTTATTATTCAATCTAATTGTTGTCAACAATACTTTCATTTTACTTCAAAAAGTGTTCTCTTAATCCTAGGTTATTTATTGGTATTCTCTTCTAAAAAACATGTAATCATTTGCTATAAGCAATATTAATTTTAGATGATAGTGAAACTACCATTTTAAATGTCTGATCAAACACGTGACTACAAGATTGTTGCATTCTCTATAGAGGATAGAGATTTAACATTCACTCCAAATGATCCAAGGTCCCCTGCAAAGCCCAAAGTGCAGCTTCAAACCCTTGAAGGTTCAATTTTTTTTTTAAATTTTACTGTGTTAGTGCCTAATGTTCTAAGGGTTTGAGCAATTTTGATATATTTATATATATAGCAAAAAAAGCTCATGGAAAATATGCATTTAAGACATTTTTAACTGTTGGCTACTACTACTGAATCTTGATCCTTGGCCCTTGCCACATATGTAGTCATGTTCAAGAATCACTTTCATAATATTTGTTCCTTCTCGATAATTCATTTGCAGGGAACCTCAGCGGTTTTTTCTTGGAAGAGATCATATAACTGTAGCATGCTTTTGAACATATTTGTGTAATAGGGCTCAAGAAAAAAAAATAGTCTTGCCTTTGCCTTTACCTCTTTGGTGTCTATTCAATGATTCATACTCTTTTGTGGGAATAAAAATAGTTGTGAATATGCTGCTAAGGTTAAATGAATATCTTCCCACGTAAAGGGGTTTATTTGACTTCTTCTAAATATAAAACGATGATTGACAACGCTGATGCTTCCCAATAAAGATATGGATAAACATTAAAGCAGCTAATCAAAATTTTCAACATGCTGTATAAAGTCCAAATGAAATCAAGACTGCGGTGAACCGTTTGAAATTGTTTCCCCTCTCAAGTCTAAAATTAATTTAAACGGCGTCGTACGTAGTCAAAGAACAAAGAAAGAAGATAGAGAACGCACACCCACCGCCCGTTGGGTTTCTTGGTAAGCGGTGGTCGCCTGCCGCTGTGTTATCCCGAGGAAACAAACTCCTCCATCCCGTCAACACAAATCCTAATTTTAAAACAAAATATGTACATTCATAACTTTCTTTCACACTCTAATATATTCAAATAAAATTTATTTTTTACAATTTTTTTTGGGGTTTTTTTTTTTCTTTGCAAAATTTGTTGCTGGGTTGTCAAGAGACAAATGCACAATATTATATAAATTTTCTAATATATTAAAAAGCTATAAATGTACCCACCATCTAATATTATGGTTTAAAGCTCTATTTTTATGGAAGCATCCTGTAAAAATCTTCTTTCAACAAAAAAAACCACCCTGTAAAAGGATTTGTAACTTTCTGTCATATTTTTGGCATGGCGAACTTCTTATAAAGCTGGTAAGGTAATAATTTCTTAAAAGAATGATGTATAGTAAAGCAAAAGATGAACAATTTAATTCAATTCTTGTTCTTGATTAATAATCTACCAAACAGTTAATTGATTTAAAACAAATCCTTAGAGCTAATAAGAAATTTATATGCTATAAAGCTCGTCCTTATCACCTGATTCATTCCAACTTTTAAGCTAAACTAAAATAAACTAAAACCTTTACTCGAATAAATAATCAGAAAGAATGACTGAACCGTTATCTCTTTAGTTTATATACATATATATATATATAAAGAAATAATCCAAATAGAAAAAAGTACCAATCGCAAAAATCAAGCAAGCGCACAAATTACCATAAATAATACAAATAATTTGAAAAAAAATATATGTATATATCATAATCCAACATAATCCCCAAAAATTCTAAACACAAACACCCAGGTAAAGGGAAAAATAAACTA